GCGCACACACACACACACTCACTCACACACATGCGCACACACACACTCACAAACACACATGCGCACACACTCTCACACACACACACACACACACACACACTCACAACACACACTCACACACACACTCACTCTCACACACACACACACACACACACACACACACACAGTGCTGGCGCTGCTTCTGCTGTCTGATTCTAGATGCACCGTTAACAGCTTGACGTTATGTGTGAAGAATTCAAACCTAAACGATCCTGCGCCGCTCTCGCTCTGTTTACTCCTCGGCCGTCCTTTCCTTCCTTCTACATCGAAACAGTCTCTATTTACCTGCACGTCGGCTGATTTCCCTCGTCTCCTGGGATGACGTCACTCCAGCCGTGACCTTTGACCCTGCATGAGTTCATGTGGGTTTGATTGTGTTTCTCTGGCTGCGGTGCGACAGCGATTGTTTGAGTCCCTCTGGACCTCTAATCACACGCAAAACTCTCCATTCGGTTTAGTTTTCCCTGGTTCTCTCACCCTTTCTGTCACATGCACAAATACAAGTTACTTAAAGAGGTTTTCTGTCACCAATTCCCTGATAAAAGTTATTTGAAAAGGTCATATTATCATTATTTATAATTTCTTTATAAATAAGTTCAAATGTAATACAAGATATAAAATAACTACAATTAAACTACAAAACTACAATTTTAATTAAATTAAAAACTTTTTTGCATCAAACTGTTTTATTTCAAATAAAGTAATTCTCGGGAATTATGTAAATTTAAATATACAGTAAGTTAACAAATAATGTTAGTCAAGGTTTTATGCAACAAAGTAATCAAAATGTTGTTTTTCACGCTCTTTCTAAGTACAACTAACAATAAAATAGGTATTTACAACAAGCTGTTTTATTTCAAAAGTCATTCTGGGAATTTTGTAAATTCAAGGAAATGTAGATACAAGGTTAATCAAGGTTTCATGCACAAAAAATCAATAAACCTTTAGTTTTTTACCATCTTTCTATTTACCAAAAGCTACAATTAACTACAAAAATACATCAAGCTAATTCAAATGTGATTCTGGGATATTACGTAAATTCAGGGGAATTTACATTTAAATGAACATATAATGTTAGTTAATATTAATTTTATTGTACAAAATAATCAAAATGTTGTTTTTCACACTCTTATTAACTACAAATAACAAAAAATAAACACTTATTTGCAACAAACTGTTTTATTTCAAAAGTCATTCTGGGAATTCTGTAATTTCAAGGAAATGTAGATATAAGTTAAACTACAATGTAAGTCAAGGTTTCATGTATCAAAACAATAAAACTTTAGTTTTTTTAACCAACTTTCTAACTACAAAAACTACAAGTAAATAAAAAAAATAATGTCAAGCTATTTAAATAGTCTTTCTGGAAAATTAAGTGTATTCAGGAAAATGTACATCTAAGGACACGCATAATGTTAGTCACTGTTCGTTTTTCACCATCTTTCTAACTTTTTTGTTACTGTACCTTTAAGACTTTTTGATATCTGATCTACTTGACTAAATTTACATTGTAGGTTTTATCTAAAAAAGACTATGTGAAATTATGTAAATGTATGTCTCTTTCATGTTCTGTAGTTTTCTTAAAACTACAAGTAAAAAACATTTATATCAAACTATTTCTTATAATGTTAGTCACTGTTAGTTTTATGCAACAAAACAATCAAAATGTTGTTTTTCACACTCTTTCTAACTACAAAAATTATTTTTGCTACTGTACTTTTAATACTTTGCTATATTTACATCAAACTGTTTTATTTCAATACATTTTCGGAAATGATGTAAATACAAGGAAATATATATATATATATATAAAATATAATATAATATAATTAGTTCTGTCAAACGATTAATCGTGATTAATCAAATTCAAAATAAAAGATTTTGTTTACATAATATATGTGTATGTTCTGTGTATATTTATTATGTACTGTATATATAAATACAAACACATGCATGTATATATTTCAGAAAATATTGTTTATATATTATATATATTCATATATAATATAAATGCATGTAAATATTTTCTAAATATATATACTGTATGTGTTTGTATTTATATATACATAATAAATATACACAGTACACATACATATATTATGTGAACAAAAACTTGTATTTTGGATGCGATTAATCGTTTGACAGCACTAAATATAATGCAAGTTCACATATAATGTTAGTCATGGTTCCATTTACCAAAATAATCAAAATGTTGTTACTTTTTTGTTACAGTACGTTCAAGACTTTTTGCTGTCTGATCTATTCGACAATATTTGATCAATCTGACTTGCTTGAAAAATGATTATGTAACGTTTATTCCACTTTCAGCTCTTCAAAGCGTGATGTCCAGCAGTTCTGCTCTAACTCCTGGGAAAACCGGCGGCGTCGGATCGGCCGTCTTCACTCTCCATCACAACGGCTCGCTCGACTACCAGGTAACGGCTCTGTTCTATTCCCTCATTTCTCGATGACTTCGTCAGGTCCGTCAATTGAGCGTTCTGACACTCACACACTCACACACTCACACACACACACACACACACACACACACACACACACTCACACACACACACACACACACACACACACACTCACACTCACACACACACACACACACACACACTCTCACACACACACACTCACTCTCTCACACACACACACTCACTCTCTCACACTCAAATTCACACTCACACACACACTCACACACACACACACACACACAC